GCAATTTTGTTGGAGTTGATCGATTTTAAGAGGGTTCTCTACCTATTTGTGAGAAGTTAAAATGTTGAGTATCCCACATCGCTGGTGGGACAAAAAAGTCAATGGCAAAACTTTCTATAAAAAAGGGCAGAAGACTATTAAAAACCAGTTACAACTATGTATTGGGCCAACTGTCTCCTTTAAACGGGTGAGTCCTTTATAGTTGTTTGGTCCGATTAATTGACCGTCTAGATCGATTTTTACAACAGTGATTAATATATTTACTTTTCAATTAAAAGCAAAATTTTTTATAAACAAATAATAAAATAATTAAGATATATTTATTCTACATGTTAATTTTCAAATAAATATTAAAAATAGAAGAATGTATCATCACTTAATTAAGTTATATATATTATTATATTACCATCTTTTAACGTAATAAACATTTTTTTAGTCTTCTTTTATGGTGTACGGTTATAGTTTTTTAAATTTTGTTCTAAATTTTTTTCTGTTTTATTATATAAAAAACACATTGATTTTAGATCCTCAAGACAACTTTATTACAGTGCAATTTGTAATTTTTCTATACTATAATATTTTAACCTCTCTTAAAAAAAAGGTATTGCATTCTATTTTGAAAAAAAAAAGACGCTGATGATCCTTTCTTTTTGTAATTTTTCTAAACTATAATATTTTATTATGTGTATCTTATCAATAAATGAAGTTCATGTAAATTTTTTGTAATAATATTTCTAATATCTAATATTTTAATAAATGACTAGAAATAAGAGAATTTTGTAAATTTTAGACAATTTAAATACGTTATATATTGGTTGTTAATTATAACTTATTTAAAAAATTGACAATTTGTTTTTAGAAAGTTATACTTATTGGGATTGTCGTTGTTAGAAATTTTTTTTTGAATTAATGTATGTGAGACACTTAAAATTAAAAAACAAAAGAAATATTATTGTAAAAAGAAAAAAGATGACGTAGATAAGATAAAAAAAAGTATAGTATGTTTGTTAATTTTTATTATAAAATATCATTTAAAATAAAAATAATTAGTTGGAAATAATAAATAATAATTATATAATCAGATTATAAATTAAAAAATTGTAAAAAGTAGATAATCATCATAAAAGTTATTAGACGTTATCTTGGGGGTAAACAGCACAAAAGACACTAATTTGACACGAAGTTTACACCAAAATTCTAATTTGACACTGAGTTTTTTTCTGTTTCAAATTTGATATTGTGTTTTTCAATTTTTTACAATTTTGACCACTTAACCGGTCAACCAGGTTACCTGTTGACGTGACATGATAACATGTCAATTTTGATGACGTGACATGATGACATGTCAATTTTGATGACGTGGCATGCTGACGTGGCAAAATTTGAATATTTTCCCACAAAAGACATTAAGTTTTCATTTTTTTCGATTTTGACACTAAGGTGTTGTTTTGTTTTTTCTGAGGCAATATGTCTGCAGTCTGCGGACCACATCTGTAGGCCTCTGCAGTAGAAGATGTGGACCAAACGTCTGCAGTCTGAAAAAAGAAGACTGTTTGTTTTTTTAACATCTGCGGGCTACTAAATCAAACTAAAATCTAAATAAACTGATTTTTTTAAACTTCAAAGTGATATTTTAATATTTTATGACTTTGTTATAAATAATCAACAAATCTAGATCAACTTTTATGTATTATTGTATAAAAAATTAAAATAAAAATGGTATGAATTAACGTATATATTTGATAAAAAAACCAACAACTTTGGTTGCAAAGTTATAAACTAAACATTATAATTAGGGATCAAAGAATTTGATACATAAATGGATGGAAATAAATTTCGATTTTTTCAATTAAATCCATTAAAACGTACCATAAATATTTTCTCGAGAAATTGACGATACTGTATTAAATAATGTTTTAAAAAATTTGGCAAAAAAATATAAGAATATATATTATGATTTTTTTTTCATATTCATATAAACAACTTCAACGACTATTATTATAATAAATATTTATTTATAAATTTGTCAAAAAATATCATGTTTGTATTGTCGAACGTTTTTTTTAAGCTTTGTAATTTTTTTTTAATTTTTTATCATTAATAAAGTTGGAAAAATTAAAAATTAAAAAAAAAAACTTAAAAAAAAATAAAGATATATGTGTTTTTTTAGGCTAGAAGATGTCTGAAGATGTTAGAAGACTCTGGTCCACATCTGCGCCAAGAAGAGGACGCGCATACATTTTTAGGTCTGCAGTCTTCAAAAAAACAAACAGTCTGCGAAAGCTAATTTCTGCGCGTGGTCTGCGCGGCGCAGACAGAAGGGGTCACGCAGATCTGCAGACAAAAAAACAAACACCACCTAAGTTTAATTTTTTTTTTCTTTCAATTTTGACACTCTATTTTTTTGTTCAAAATCGAACATCATTTTTTCCAATTTTGTTCAATGTTGCATATTTTCCATTTGAAACCGTATAAATATATTTTTTTATTACATTTTAAATCGTATAAATACATTTTTTTCGTTTAAAAACCACATTTTTATATAAATACAAGGTTTTTTTTTCTTTTTACATTCAAAGCATAAGGTTATGCATAAATATGCATTTGTTACAATCATGAGAATCAAACTAACAATAAGCTGCGGATAAAATGTAAAAATTTCACGGGTTGCAAACTTGACCTCTGGGCCTTGATCGACTACACGTCTCCAAACTTCCAAACTCATTTTAAAGTTGTGTGATTAATATAAAATACGGTTTTTATATAACTAATACATATTTATACATAAAATTATGGTTTGAATGTAAAAAAACCTTGTATTTATATAAAAATATGGTTTTTAAATGAAAAAAATGTACTTATACGATTTAAAATGTATTAAATAAATATTTATATGGTTTCAAATTGAAAATAATTAACATTGAATAAAATCAGAAAAAATGATGTTCAGTTTGGAACAAAAACCAAAATGTCAAAACTGAAAAAAAAAATTAAACTTAGTGTCAAAGTCGAAAAAAAAATAAAAATTTAATGTCTTTTATGGAAAAAAATCAATTTTGACACGTCAGCATGCTACGTCATCAAAACTAACACGCCATTATGTCACGTCAGCATGTAACTGGGTTGACCAGTCAAGTGGTTAGAATTGTGAAAAATTGGGAAACACAGTGTCAAACTTGAGAAAAAAAAACACAATGTCAAATTAAAATTTTGATGTAAACTTAGCGTTTTTTGTGCTATTTACTTCATTATCTTAGGTTGTCTAAATAGTCAAATAGCCAAATAAGGTGTCTCTTTATCCGATCTAAAAAAACTATTAGTTATACTTTAAATTTTATAGTAAGCTCATGAATGGTGACGTTAAAGTTTGGAGTTTTCAATGGAAAATTAGTTAAAGTATATATTTAACTCAACATCTAAATTAGAACAAAATTCTAGTTTTGAAAATGTAATCCTTATTTGTTTATAATACATGTAATCAAACTAATTTAATATTAAAAATAAAAATTATCAAATACAAATTACCTAAAAAAAATTGTGTTAACAAACATATAAGATATATTAGCGACCGACAACATGTGGTGCGATTTATATGATAATTAGCGACAGGTGTCGAGATATCATAGACATACACTTTTAAACATGATCATTTTAACCTATGACAAACCGAAGAAAGAGGTCATCTATATATGACTTGGTTGTTGCTAGTTCCTATGGTTGGATTTCCAATTAGAATCGTGTAGGAAACTTAGTATGGATAGATTGGCTTAAAAGTCCATGTGATGTTATTAAAAATTTGTAATTGTAGTATTTTTGTCTAGCAAAATATCTCGATGTTCAAAACAAAAGTTATAACCTTGTGTACCATTCTTTCCATGTTTTGTTGCTACTATTTGTTTATGAACATTTAAAATAAATATAGAAATGATGGTGAGAATTGGAAACTAGGGTCTGGACTTGGATGAAGAGGATGAAAATAATGATCAAGATTTGTTTATAAATGGGTCTAATAACTGTTTTATGATGTGTTGAAGTATAATTAAGCTTTTGAACTCTATGAATGTACCAAATTTTTGGTAACACATATGGGACTTAAGACCCTAGGTTGAATAAATAATGGTTGGATCTTGTGGAATGAATTTTTTATCATCAAAGTTGTTAATTAGAGCTATTGATGCTATGATCGTATCATATTAGCACACAAGATAAGTATAAAAGTTAGGTAGTTGGTTAATGGTCACTTTGTTACGTGCTATCTAAAGCTTAATATTAATCATTCACACCTTAAGCTTGTACTACACAAGTTTGGATGCTCTTCGAGGCAAGAAATCTCAAAGAAGCGAACACCATTAGATACAGAGTCATCAAGGTGAGTAACTTGCATTACTTACGTCTTTGATATGTGTGCAAGATAATTCAAACTTCGCAACAATATCTTCATATTCTTCTTTATACTAATAAAAGAATAGTTATTAATGTCACTTGTCATTTTCTCATGATTTACGTTTTCTTTTCAAATGTTCTATAAAAATTACACCCGACATTTTCTCATCAGTTATTTATTTGATTCCTGATTTTTAGGATAAATTTAAATTCGCATTGAATAAGTTTCGTTTATGATTGTGGATAAATAATTGTATTTCTATATTGAAAATCCTACAAAATCATGTTTAATTAAATATTCATTGAAAATAATTAATTAATAATTATAAGTTTTACTATAAAAATTTAATTATTTTTATAACCGTAGTTCCCACGAGCTATAACCCAATTCTTTATAAATGACTTTTATCTATACTCTTATCTTTAAATTCAGAAGCAACTTTTATGGTTGCATTTTTAAGAATAACTTTTTCTTTCTTAGTATTATGTCCAAGGAATCTCATACTAGTGTGGAAATCACCATTTTTGGCATTCTTATCAACCTTCTCACATGTCCTTTTCCTATGAAGTAGGATATATCGTTTTCGCGTTTCAATTATAACCAATAAAAAATCATACGTACACAACAACAATTCATATACTATAAAAAAACTCATCACATGTAATAAGTCCTGTTGTCCTAATACATGAAGTATACATCTGAATTGCACAAGAACATTAAAAGTACAAGTGACTAATGCGTGTTACGCATTTGGTACAAGCCTAACCAGCATATACAATGTGAGTCCAAACAATGTAGAAGTTACGTTTATACTTCTATGCATTCTCCCATTATCAGTCCTCCATACCATAGCTTTATAAATGGGCCAAGAATTCACAAGCCCAAAACAAGCTAGAAACATTTGCCCAAAAAGTCCATTAACGTTTCCTCCTTTTAAAATTTGCAAAATGCCAAACACAAACGCAACCAAATTTACGATTGCAACCGTTGCTAAAGGCACAAACATTGGTGAGGGGACACTAAATTCAAAAACCCCATTGTCGTATCTCTTGCTTTGTTCATTGTCAACCACTTTGTTTGTCACATGAAACCCTTTTGAAGCAATACCCAAACGTTTAATGGAGAATTCAATGAACCCAAATATATACGATGAGAGACCTCGTATGAACCACATTCGTTGGTCATTCCACCATTGTTGGAATGTACCCTGGGCCAACATAAAATCAAGAGAGTCTTGAATGTTGGCCCCAAGAAACAAAAAAACATACAAAAGAAACCAGTAATCTGTAACCTGTATTTCAATCATTGCAAATGTTTAATTAGGATATGAATTAGTATTGCAAGGAGTGTAAATTTAGGTATATGCATACCTTTGGGAAGACAGATACACGATTAAGGAGTGCTAGTTGAGGGAGGAAAGAGTATATATAGATTGGAATTGACCAAATAGGCCAAAACGCATTGTGTGCATAAGCAAGGCCCATTAAAGGGCCCATGAAGCGACTACCGAACGTTAACGGATTGTATTTTGAAAATACAACCTCTAGCAGACCGATGCACCACCTTCTGTTTTGAGTTAGTGCATCGAATAGTGTGATTGGTAGATCACCTAAAAAGGCGGGCCTTCTGGGATGGAAGAATAATGACTTCCATCCTCTACAATGCTGATGAAGACCCGTAAAAAAATCTTCAGATAATGACCCATATCTAAAACCCATCTAAAAAACAATAAAAAAGTTAGTATTTAACGAGTTAATAACACACGAATGAATATTAACAAGCCCGATTTGGCTAACCTTCGAACCCCAAGAGGAATTATTTTCGTAATTTGAGCCTGCAACTCCATGGGCCAAATCAAGAATTTCTTGGCTTTTAATGGGCTTTTTAACGACATGATCGGGCCAAAGTTCACGTACTTCGGGCAATTCGGGTGATGATGGCCCGCCGAAAAACACACGGCGAACAAAAAAGCAACCACTCCCAACATAGCACGGGCCTTTAAGACCATCCATACCCCCGGGATTTATCACATAAAGACGTTTATATTCGCTACTGTAAATGTCCGCTTTATTTATACCATGAAACCGTTGTGGGAATTGAATATACCCTAAATTGTGTCGGATTGATTCATCGGCATAAAAACATAACATTTGTTGAGGCGTTTTTGGATCATTTGAGTACATGTCACAATCTTGAGTTAGGACTATAGGTGCATTTGTCATTATAGCCGATACACGAAGCTACAAAACCACAAAAAAAAAAAAAAAACAAATAGTTTGCTACCCATATATGTTATTAACCTTGAAAAAAATCCTAAAAAAAAATCCATGTACACGATAAATACTTACCAAGGTATTAAGGGCACCAGCCTTAAAGTTGTGTGGTGAGGCCTTATTTTTTTCCCTTGAAACATATATAAGATTTGGCATTGGATGCTCTTCAATGTCTCTATCTTGTCTACTTTCTAACAAAACCTGTTTCAGTTATCTTTATAAATTTTAGTAAGTTTTTATAAAGTGTAGCATAAGTTGTAGTAAATTTTACAGATTTTATAAAACCAACCTGAATAACTGCTGGATGTTCATGACGACTGAACCCTTTGCTCCATTTGTTGAAAACTATTTGTTCGTCTTCATTTGTGATATACTCAGGATTTATGTTTCCTCTTTCGACTACGCTTTCGACTTTTATTCTCATTTTCTCATACATTGACTGATTTATAATAAGAATTTTGAAAAAATGAGACAAAATTATATAAGGCAAATAGGATTGAGATGTAACCCACAAAACACATAAGAATTCAAGTCGGTTATGAAAGCAATGTGCACTAGATAAGTCAATTTGGTTATATTTTGTCTTTAACAAGTGGAAATGAGTAAAATAAACAAATTAAGTAACAAGGATACTTCCGCAATAAAATCATAGTCTTAGGGACTATTCCGCATTTTTCTTTACAAATCATGACCAGATTCGCTGGTTTTTTGTCTTTATATACCTACTTGATATTGAAAAGGCAAAATTATCGACAAAACAAGCAAATCAATATATATATATACGTAAACTAATGATCATTTATTAACGTAATAAATACTTATTCAAAATAGAATAAAATATATTTTATAGAGACCCCAAATCGAATTGTTTGGTGGACAAATTTTAAAATAAAAAACTCAGCAAATGACACATGATGACAGGATAAGGCTGTCTGCGTCTAGTCATACTCATATATACTCGTCTGTTACTTTCAATTTCATAAATTCGTAACTACACGTTTGATATGTATGTCTATTAAAAAAAATCTGTGTTTTATTCTCATTTTATTTGTCAACTATCAAACAACACCTACCTTCAGTATGACATTAAATTTAACGAGTTTGAGATAATATTTGTGATAGTCATAAATTTTAAGGCCAAATATTATATTCTGTTTTAAAAAATTCAATACCTTTCCAATTTCTCCTAATGAATAATTCAATAACTATAGTACAACTTTAAATGTGTAATGTAGAATTATTGTCATATACCTTGATCTTGGCGCCGTCGGAAAATGTAATGCCATTTGATCGGAAAAAAGCCTCCGGGCATCTGTCGGTGATGTTATTATCCCTACAAAACGGCAACCAAATCTTTGCAAACTTTGCAGCTTCAAAGAAAGCAAAAAGTGTAAGCTCCGAGCCACCGTCATCGGAAACATACACAGAGATCTTCTCCGGCGGATAATCATAAGCCATCAAAGACAACGCCGTATTCACCACATTCATTGGCGGCTCCTTGTAGGGATCTGCCGTGCAGATGAATATGTCTAACGCCGGAAAATCTTTTTTCTCAATAAACTTCCCAAGATTCTCGGGAAAAACTTTCCGGCCGGTGGGGAAGAGTCTGAAGGAGGTGGTGGTTGTCCACATGAAGGCAAGGACGATGTCGGCGACCAAGAGAATGACGGTGGTGGCGGAGGAGATGAATGTGGTGGAATGGCGGAGGGTGAGGAGGTGGTAGTAGAGCAAAGCCAAGATGGCGGAAGCGTAGATTATGGCGAATGCGCGGTTAATGGTGGTGCGGCGGAGGAGGTGGGAGGTGTGAAGCGGTGGAGTGGCGGCGGTGGCCGGGTGAGGAGTGAGCGACATTATAAATGCACTGAAATGATCTGACCAATAAGGATACAGTAGAATATTGTTACATAATTTGACAAGCTTTTTACAATCTTTAGGAGTTTAAATAGCCTAGAAGGTTGGAAAACGTTAAGAAAGTTTATTTGTTAAAATTTGTTGTTTTGTTTATTACATTTTGATATTTTTAGTTATAATTTTATATTTATATTAATCTAACAAAAAAAGTTTTAAAATATGAAAAGGATAACGATCTCCGTGACTTCAATCGAATCCAACTCCCAAGATAACTACGTGAGAAATAGCAGGGTATATCGATGGTTAACAAAATGTGTACAAATTCAATGCAACTTTACTATTTAATAGGGAAAATAACTTTTTAAATTAATAAAGTATTATTTTTTTACATATTTTTTATTTTTTATACAATTTATATTTAAATTTATATTTATTGTTTAGAAAACACTATTTTGACAGGTTATTGAGGTGTATCTATTTATCTGTTCAATAAAAAAATCATTAAATTCATATTTGTAGTTCAAAAAACATAACTGAACATATATTTTTATTCATATTTGTAGCTCAAAAAACCAGCGTACGTGGGTGATGTTCGCAACCAACTTACAGCTAGTACGGTAAGCGTACTCATAGAGTACGTCTCGCGTACTAGCCAAGGACCAAAATGAAAGAATTTTGCATACAAATGCTAAAATAGAAACTTATCAAAACTTGAGTATTACTATATATATGGAGTCTCATATTCACGCTCTAAAAGAGTCATTTTGGAGAGAAAGAAAACTCCAACATATCTAATTACTTATAATACCATGTCGCACAAATATAAGATATACTAACACTTAATTTCAAGTTTATTAAAATACTTTTATTATGAAAATTTCTAAGCCAACAATTGGATTATACAAATGGAAATCTTGGCAAATTATTATCCAAAACAAACTTCTTCACGAATGGAGCACATAAGCATCATACTACATTAATCTCATCCATTTCACAAAACTCTTAACTTTATACCAAAATATGAACTCGTTTTAAGGAAATTTTGAGAATTAATTTTGACCTTTTTCATTAAGATGTTTTTTATTCACTATGAACTCGTCTTAGGCGTCATATAAAATTTGTTCTCTCCTTTCATTTTCATCCCTCTGAACCACATGTCATCTAGGCGTCATATCAATTTTTTTTCTCTCTTTTCATTTTGATCTCTAAACTCACAACACATGAAAATTCATTCATTTTATCATTTTCAACTCAAAACACATTTAGATACATGCTTTTATGCATGGATTACAAATTAGAGTAGAAGAAAGGAACATTTTTTACAGTACCAAAAGAGGCGGGATGGTGTGCAATGTGGTACGGTCGGTAGTCCGCTACCTTCTTGCCAAAACTCTCAACTCACATGACTCCTTCCACACTAAAAGTTTCTTGCTAATCTACCAGTTTTTCAATTCTAATAGAACATTGAATTAACTAATTTAATTTTCACACAATTGGTATGTGGTTTGTTCGATATGTGCCTGTTAATGAATTCGTGATTCAACCTTTTAAAATTTGGATTAAAGCAAAGTTTTACGATTTACATCATGTTTTTTTAAAATGTTTGTTTCTAAGTTGGATATGAAATCAATTATCGTATTTTTCCGTAAACCAAAAATTTATCCACTTAAATAAACTAGTGAGAAGACACTAAAAACAAATGAATAAAATTATATAAGGTCAAATGTGATGTCTCCACTCTCCGTTGCTCCATTTTCTATGTGGAATAGGGAATCCCCATTGTACAACTTGCCTTTATCATCATGTGGATATATCTTGTGTGTACCCCCACCAAAGAATTATTATATATGTCACGAGCGTAGTAAGGTATATCTTAAAACTTGCAAAAGGTTTTGCTGATTCTACGTTTTATTTGAAAGTTAAATTTATTTATGTAATTATTTTCTAGTCAAGAAATTGAAAATCTTCATTAATTACAAATTTTGATGACAGCAAGAGGAATTGCACCTCCTAGGCCTTAGCTTTTCCCAAAAATTGTTATTTTGTACAACATGTAACACTCGTTTTTCATGATGGATAATTTGATGGCTTAGAATGATCAAATGTGAGGTTTTTGGGAAAAACCTTGTGCCACGACGTGGTGAATGGGCCTTCACGACGTGACAAGCCAAATGCCGGAAACGCATGTCTCGATGGCTGCCACATCGACGTGGCAGCAACTGCAACCCAAACCCATGATTTTTAGGGTTTATTCCATATTTAAGCACCCAATCTCAAGGATTAGGGCATCCTCTTCAGCCTCCAACCCTTCCATACGAAACCCTAGCATCCATGCATGATTGAAGGTTTGATTTCTTGATTTAGAGTTTAATCTTTGGATTTTGGTGAAGCTTGGGGAAATGAGAGGTTCATCTTGGTGCAAAGGAAGAAGGAGTAAGCTTAGATCCAACATTCCCTTCAGATTTATGAGTTGTTGGAGGTAAAAAGTCCATATCTTGGCATTTTTTCTTCTAGATTCAAGTTTGAGGTCATGATTAGGTGGTTTTGGTCCCTTCCATGGATACTGTGGAGTTTGAGGAACTCCAGGGCTTGGTAGGGCTCCTTTATGATTAGTATATTCTGTAGAATGAGAAAAAGGAGCCATGTTAGAGCCACCTTGTGTCCATGCACAAGTTTTGGCCCCATTAAGGACTTAATGGACATAAGATTGTAGATCTAGCCTTTGAATGGAGTCCTAATGGATAATTTTGAAAACTTTATCCATTAAGTCATTGAAAAGAAGTAGATCGGAAGTTATGGTCTTTGCTCTGTAATGATTGAGATCTTAATGAAAAATATGGCAATCTATCAGTTCCCACGACGTGGTGGTTCTCTATTTCGCGACTATTTTGTCTTGGTATCCTCATGACGTGGCCAAAGAGGTCTCCACATCATGGTGAGTGTTGACTTAGTTGACCATTGACTTTTGTTAATTGTTGATCGTTGACTTTTGTTAACTGTTGATCGTTGACTTCTGACCAGTTTGACTTTGGGTCAAACTTGAAGGATTTGGGTTATTGATTAAGGATATATATGTATTTGATGTCATTCGGTTCTCGGGAGTGATCAGTGCAGGGAGTGAGGGTGTTGCGGTATTTCATTGGGTCTTCGATTTAGGTGAGTTTCCTCACTATACTATGTGTTATAATATATATGCTTGTATGTTAGGATATAGGAGTAGTGGTATGTTGGTTAGAGTACTAGGGGGGTCGGTGGTCGTCTAGCTGAGTGTCGTAGGGGTTGTATGCAGTCATGTAGGATAGCCTGAGAACTCTTGATCTAGGTTTTCTTTCATGTTCCTTGTTTGGTTGTGTCTCTAGAGTAAGATCACCTGTTTGACTATCTATCTCACCTATGATTACATATAGCTCTGCATTCATTAGTGATCTGCCAGTAGTGACGTAGAGTATTGTATGAGGCTCGGTATATTGTAGTGAGCTGTTAAACAAGTAGACTAGTGTAGGAAGTTGTATGTGTTATATTCTTGCTTGATTGCTTGTGTAACGCCCGTAGATCCGGGCTAGTCAATTTAGAGACAATGAGCATCAAAAATGAGTTTTTGATGGAAGATTATTTAGAAGGAATAATCCTAACCAAGTGGTAGTATATGTTACAAGGGTTTCGTACATATAAAGAACGCCGAAATCGACACGGCACCGAAAGCATAAATAGTGAATTTACGATAGAGCGACTCTTAGCCTTAGAAATCTAAACAAAAGTCGTAGAATACGTTAAACCGAGAGCGTCCATAAAAAGGAACGCCCAAATCTGACTTCGTATGAGGAAGTTATGATTTTTCAAAGTTTCGACTTAGCAGTGTACAACCCGAAGTTCGAATATTAGATCGAGCGGTTTATAGCCGACACAACCTAAACGAGAATCGAAGATCTCGTTAATAGTAGCGTAACGATAAAAAGACAGACGAGAACGGACGTCGGATGAAGGAGTTATGAATTTTTAACGGACCAACCCTGTCCCGGCCTGTTAAAAATATAACTTTTAAAATAAAGTCAAAATTAGCCGACGGAGTATAAATGAAAGTTGTAGAGTACGTTCCCGCCTACGCGTGGATATAAAGAACGTCGAAAACGGAGCTTGTATGCGAAAGTTATGATTTTTAGAAGTCGGAAAGTAAATTTGCGAGACCTGTTGCGAAGATGGTGACGTGGCCGAACCACAGCCGTTCAATGATGGTCTCAGAACTCGCTTCGGATGAAGACACGTCGCATCTAGGTACGCCCATCGTCTAATCTCGGAACGCGCCGCGTACGCCTTACCCTTCCTCGGTCCAGCTTCGCCCACGTCGCACCATCGAAACCCTGCCACGTGCCTCGTACGAAGCCAGTTGGTGTCCCTATCCGAACTACGCCCCGCGTAGTGCTGTTGTAAGCCTAGCGTACAACCGAAGGCTCGCGCGGTCGCGCCTATAAATAGGCTGCGAGGGCTGCCGAAGAAATCACACATTTTCCATTTCTCTCTCTAACTTCTTTCTCTCTCTAAGGTCCCTAACCCCCCCCCCCCTAAGCCTAGGTAAACCCCTAGCACCCGAAGGAAGCCCCGAGGCTCCCGGAGCCCCGAGAAAAAGGGTCTTTCGGTTCGGAAACGCTGCTCCAAGCGAAACCCGGTTTTCCAGAAAACCCGCTGTAAGTGAGCTACGCCTACGCTATTTTTAATATAGCTTCTAATTAATTATAGTAACATTATTAGGACCTTAAAATAATTATTTGGGCTATTATTATGAGTTATATAAGATTGTTGCTTAACGCTTATATAATAGTAATAGTAGCTAGACTATTAATTAGTCGCGGTTAACGTTAGACTAAACCCTAATGGTATTGATACTAGGTTTTGTCAAGGGAAAATTGTTTTAAGATAACGAAGTGTTGTCCGAGTACCGAGTCACCACCTTTTCAAGTGAGTGCATAGTTCATTTCATCTTACACATAGATATGAAGTATTTTATATAAATTACGTGTTATGTGTGCATATTGTCTGAATAGTTGCTGTCTATGCTG